CTGGCCACAAACACCCCTAAAATAATGAACATCTGCGTGCCAGATAAGATTGGGTGAAAGCACCCAATATCTTACTGCTGTTTCTAGCCCGGCATGCTCTAATCGCGTCTTGGTGAAATGATTTTCTTTGAAGTATCTGCGTACTTCTCTATAAGATACATCAATTTGTTGTAATTTCAAACGTTTCCATTGTTTTGTTTGACCACAGGGAAAGGCCCAGTGGTCATGTATCACAGCAAGAGCTTTGATTTGGTCGTAGGGATTGACCCTACGACCTTTCTTGCCTTTAGGCAATGGGATATTCTGTAAGCTAAATTGATTTTGTAAAAAAGATTTTGAAACATCTAAATATTTGAAATCATTTGATTGAAGGGTTGGGGCGATGGGAACATGGGTGCAAGCTTCTTCCCATGTCATTTTACCTTCTTCAATCTGATTGGAAATACCAATTAGGTAAATTCGATCAACATACCCTTTGTAAGGATTCATTCTAATGAAGTACGTTAACAATCAAAATATTCTAGAAGTGTCTAGGATGGAATTCAAAAGAATAAAGAAAATGGTAACGTAAATAAACGTATTATGAAATAATTTATAATTAAAATGAAAAAAAGAAAAAATAATAAGTAAAGTGACTGGAAATGAAAATGAAAATCAGTGTACAGTTTTATTTTTTTCTCGCTGTGAAACGTATTCGGTCATTTTTTTAAAAATTAATTTTTTGTTAGAGATAAGAGCTAAAACTCGGTAAACAACTTCTTTATGTCTAGAAAATTCTATCTTGCCTTTTATTTTTTTCTCGCTGTGAAACGTATTCGGTCATTTTTTTAAAAATTAATTTTTTGTTAGAGATAAGAGCTAAAACTTTGCAGACAACTCCCCCATGTCTAGCAAATTTAACATTCGTCTCCCATTTTTATATATTTGGTTTATAATGTTCGAAAATGCGTAATATGGTCATTCATATTAATTGAAAAGAACCTTGAATTAATTCAATCTGATCTCACAAAATATTTTAAATTACAAACTTTGTAGTTTGAATAGATAATTAGTATTAAACTCAAATAACTAGTTTATTTTTGAATAAAAATTATTTGAATTTATTCAATTTTGTGAATTTTCCTTCAAAAATCAAGTTTAAATATCTTATTTGCCATATAATTATAAATACAATGAAACATATTCGAAATTGAAAAGAATGACTTTTTCTGTTCTTTCAATCATTCAATTTGAATTTTGCAATATTGGATTTCTCATTAAATAGCTATTAAAAACAACAAGCAATTTAACTTACATTCAAATTTATTTGTGTTATATTCAATCTTCTCAAAACTTATAATTTTCGGCTATAGCATGAGTATATGCTATATAATATAATAAACCTATAATAGTATCATTCTTTCAATTATTTGAAGAGAAAACCGAAAAAATCTATTTTCGGTCTATAACAATTTATTACTTGAATTATGCTTCAGAAAAATTTATATGTCTTCACAAAACTTTAAAATTTTGTAACTTTCCATTTCAAAAAAACATTTCCCATGATGAAAAAGAATGACAAGTATGGTATAATGTCTATAGTGATCATACATGATTCATTAAAAATACGTTAATTGATTTAATTCAATACTTTTCAATGATTCACAATTTCAAAACAAAATAAAATGATATTTATCAAATTATCACTCTTCAATATAATTAGTTTTCAGCTAATTAATACATTTTCATTAAAGATCTTAGCAAACATCCAAAACACAATTTTCTATTGAAAAACAATCGTGTCAAAACATTTTTCTGTGTGATATGTGAAAAATGTTTCATAATATTAATTTGAGCACTAGTTATGAGAATTTATTATAAGCTTATCAACATTAGATTTAACAAATTATCGGTATTTTAGAATTTAATTCAATCAGTATATTTTAATTCTGTACTAGTATACATCAATTTGTATAAGGGGTTACAACTACTAAAAAATTAACCCAATCAATCTTTGATTTTCAACAAAGCATGCCTGAACTTAAATTTAAAACATAGATTTATACTAATCTAAAATATCTATTTATTCTACTAAAGAATATTAAGATTTGCACGATTTTTATAAGAGAATTTTGTTTTCTTTTTCCTTAAAATACCAAAACTTTTATTTAACAATACCACTCGAAGAAATATCAGCAATTCTGCAGTTCAAACATCAAAGTATATTGATAAAAATTAATTAAAGCGCTGTAAATAAAAAAACTTGAAATTTAGATAATTCGAAACTTTATTAATAATATGTTATTCCGAACGAGAGAGAATTGTGAAGATTCAATATCAGTTGTGAGAAAAATTTTCTGCTTGCTCACAATTCGCAAATATTCATTTCAATCGTTATAATTATATTTAAAACAAGTTTCTCAACAATATTCATATGAAATCTAGCAAAAGTAAATTGATATAATTCAATTTTGTGAAATTTTATTGAAAAGTTGAATCGAAACATTGAATCCTTTTACTTGGTAAGAATGAAGAATAAGGCTTATTGGGCCTTACATATCCAGAAAAGGAGGAGAATCAGGATTAATGATTTCAATCAATATCCCCAAATTTAAAGAAATTGTGAGAAAAGATATAGGAGCATTCAATTTTTTCGAGGGATGAAGTCACGCGCACGAGCTTCATTATTTAATATTTTAGGGATTTACCCAATAGACTATGATAGGAATACATTTTATGCAAGAACAAAGCAGAAATATCCTTATTATTAGCCCTATTTTAATAATTTTACAAAAAATCATCAGGATTCGCATTTTGCTTTTACGTTTTACACTAAAACATATAGAAGGAAATATAATTATATCAATTAATCTTAATAATCTAATATTGGGGATTTTTATTGTTCAAATTCAGATTTTAGATCCATTAAATTCTAATAAACAATATGCATGCACATATAATAATTAATATCCATCATGGCATTTTATTCTTTCAAATCGATGAAAAAATTATGAAATTTCTTTTTTGGATAATTACTAGTTGCAATGTAATGAATGATGATCAATTAAATATGATTAACTAAATCACAAGAAAAATAAATTATATTTCTCTCAAAATTCGAAAAAAGATAAGTTTTATCCATTATTTTTGTTGGATTTATTTAATATTTACATACTATTATTAGAATAATTGAATTGATCTGAAAAAATTTCGGAATGCAAAATAATATGACAATTGTTCTCATTTTCAATGCGAATATTTGGATGATTATATACGATCTGATATAGATTACTCCAGCAAATGCGTAGAAAGTTCTGTCGATCCTTGTTTATCAAAAAAGCCCATAACTTTGAGTTTTTTTGACATTGATCAAAAAATTGAAGGAGAAAAATTCTGAGAATAAACAAATATTGAGAGTAAATATCAAAACTCAATAGTTTCAATATTACGATTTTATCTGAATTATAGTTCCTCAAAAAGATGCGAGTGAGTTTAAAGACATACATTTTATTGATCTTTATCAAACAAGAAGTAATTTCGTTCGAGAAAATGAGAAAAAAAAAATATAATTTTTTTTTCCTTCCTCTTGTCTAATGATAGTTGAGTAAATTTGCAATGTCGAACATCGCTTCGCTCTCGCTTTTAGCTGCCATGTGCGCCTTCTGGTAAGCGCTCGTGTTGCTAAGGAGGATTGGTTGTATGACTTCCCAGTTCTCTGTGAACCAACAGAAAAGAGCTTGTCTGTTCCTTCGAGCAAGTCTGTCGACTTGTATCCCTGTCATCTTCTCGAGCGTGTTAGCTCTGCTTAATAACGTGATTGCAGTCACGTTGCTGCCGAAAAGACCTTTCAAGTAATCTTGAACAACTTCGAACTTCTTGCCGAGCATCGAGCATCGGAGACGCATTTGCTCGTAGTCGCGCACGCTCTGGCTTGTCGTCCGCTTGTGTTTGTTCTGCTGTTTGTCATGCACTGAGTAACTCATAGACAAAATATATTTTTGTGAGCGAAAATTTGTCTGCTTTACGTCTTCTCAATTTTTTCTTTATTTGATATTTGAATATTATTTTCAATGCACCTATGCATTTTATTCTTTCCCGACATCAAAAAGAAGCATGCGGAGCAATTCTCCTTTTCTAAAAAACTTTTTGCTTCTCAATCCAGAAATATGCGTATTTGATTTTTATTTTCGATTTCTTCTAATTACAACATCATTATGACGTATTTATTTCTTTTTAACATTTGAATGCACTTTCAAATCCAAACTTACTAATTACAATTCGAAGTTATTGTAACACAAATGAATTCCATTCTTTTACAATATCAATTTTAAAATTCTGTGTATAAATTTATCGAGACACATTGATGCCCTAACCATATCTTACTACTTTCAATCAGTTAATAAAACATTTTTATTTCAATAGCATTTTTCAGTGCTCCCTCAAATGCTGAACTAAACAACGTATAAATTGATTTTGTTTTGAGTTTTTCAGTCCATCGAGTTTAAATCATCCTATTTAATTTATTCTTATTGCAGTTATCATACTTCCTTGATTTAATCTTCAGAAAATTAAAATTGATTTTAAGTCTCATGCACATTTACAATAATCAATTGCTATATTTACGATAATATATCTTTCTCTAAGATGGATCTATGCGAAAATTATCTGAAAATGAAAATTTTGATATATGAAAATGTGATCATATCGCATTTACTTAATTTCGTACGATTTTCTATATATACCTGTTATATACTTAATTGGAAAAATTTGACGTATTAATTTAAAAAAAGGATTAAAATTTTACAAAAAAAGTCTGATTTTTAAAGCCTGAGACAGTAGAATGTCAGATGGTGATTCATATATGATATCACGCTGCCTATTATCAAAAGAAAACACTACATTAATTGTTTAAAAAATAGAGAAGATCATAAAAATATTTTTTATCAAAAATATTCCCGAAAAAAAATAAAATCAAACCAAAATAATAAAACAAGAAAACAATAAAAAAACACGTGAATAAATTAATTATCAACAAACCAAGCCATATTTTTGATATCTCCCTCAGCTCCATCTTCTTCGCTATTTCCGAGGAAGAACTCATCATCTTCATCACTCTGGTTATTATTATACGTGAAATTAATAGTACTCATGTAAGAATTCTTTGGATCAACATTTGTTTCTTCAACTTTTTCAACAATATTAGAGTCATCGCTGCTGCTCCGATCTCTCCATTTGAAGTACCAAACAACCAATAAAACAGCCAATACAATTACAGCCAAAACACCAAAGACAACACCTATATAAACACCAGTTTTCTTCTTAGTTGATCCAGATCTAGAAGAATCAACAGAATCTGTTTTTCCTCCTGCTCCGATGTAAATTGTTCTCGCAGGAGAATTCGAAGGAAGAGGAGTTGTCATTGACGGAGTATTTGGTGGCGTTGTCTTATCAATTGTCTGGAAAAACGTATAGTAAGGAGTACCAAATGGTGTTGAATCAACTGTCATAAATGGAGATAAATAAGGGGTTTCAAAAGCAGTTTCTTTTTGTGTTTGAACAATTGTTTCATGAACTGTTGAAAATGGTGTTAAATCAGGAGTTGTTTCTGCTGTTTGGTAAGGAGTTAAATGAGCAGTCATTACAGGAGTAGTTGGTTGAGGTGTTGGAGTCATGTTTGGTGTTGGATTTGGTGTCGGGACATATATAAATTCTACGAATTGAAGAACTTTATATTTATGAAAATATTGATATTCTAAACCATTAAATTCACCAGGTCTAAGTGTTGAACAGCCAACGTACATTGTTGTTACATTATTTGACTGTACTTTTATCCTATCTGTTGTCACGATATCATTTAAATTACCATTATACGATGAATAGATTTTTCTAAATGATTTCTGGTAATTCATTGGAGATTCATCAGTTAAATAACAATATAAATTATCAGGTAATCTTTGCAACTTAAAAATGAAATCATTATGAGGAGGGACTTCAAATCTTGTCCAAAACATCCTTCGACTTTCAACAGGATATTGAGCACCTTCAGTAAATGAAGGAACTTCTACTTGACAATAATCTCCTGTATAATTTGGATGGCATTTACAAACACCACCTGTTTCACAGACACCTCTGCTTGAACAGTTATTTATACACTGACTTTCTACTTCTTTTAATTCAACTTCTTGGTCTTCAAGTTCAAAACCGCCGGCAACCGCCAAAGAGTATTCAATTTCTTCATCTTCTTCTGTTAAGAAATCATTTGAAAAAACGTGAACTTGTAAAGTTTGTGCAGAAATATTTCCAACGAAAACTTTTTCAGTTGTTGCTTGTTGTGATCCAGAACTCAAGCCATTTCCTGGAATAATTGATCCATCTTCTAATTGCACATACAAATTCAAATCAGCAGTTAAAAGAGCTGAATTTGCAAGGTCACGAGGTGGATCAGAATAAGCGATTGTTGCTCTAAACGTTTTCGGATATTTTGTTGTGATGTTGTAAGTGATGTGTTGATTAGGAAGAACTTTTCTTTTGTCGATGAATCTTGTTCCATCTTTTTTACCAGAATCATTTGAATCTCCATATCCTAATGCTTCTCCCAATATCAATATGCCATGTCCAAAACTAGGATCGAAACCGTTTCCGTAAACTCTTCCGCCATTTATCAACATGGCCCTCATCAATGTTCCACTTGGATCTGTGATTCCTGGGTACTTTCCACTGGTGAAAAACTGTCTGGCCATGGCTGCCAATCCACTACCAATGCTGGAACTGGCAGAAACACCTGGAAGTTGGATAAGAGAATCATAAGAAGTGTCACCTTTTTGTGAATTAGCATTTGCACTTCTTGAATCATAACCGAAACATGTCAAATCTGGTTTAGAAATACCGTTGTATCCAGGACCTCTCAATACATCATATTGTTGGAGTCCCCAGTTATAACTAATTGGATATCGAACAGTAAATCTGTTACCTGTCAAAAGTGAAGTGACCATATCATTTCCTATCGTCACGATAAAGTTTTGACCAGTTTTTGAGCAGTTTTCGGATAAATCTGATCTATAAACAACAACTTTTGCTTTTGCCTTCTCTGTAAGACATGTTTCAGTGTAAAATATAACATTCTCTTTATCTTCTGTTGATACTTCCAAGTCTCTGTAGTCAATCAATTGGGATTTCTTCTGGAAGAAAGTTGTTTCATTTGAAAATTTGTCTACTTGGAATGAAAATGATTCATTACTAAATTCATATGGTCCTGTGTCTTCTTCTGCAAGTCTGGCGATAGTTCTACTGATACCTTGTATTGTAAGGACGTTCTTGGAGTCAGAAGGACTGTAAACATTGTAAACTCCGTCGCTTGGTTGGTTTCCTGTTGGAAAAATGAAAATTTTGTCTTTGTTCTTAAAAGCAACTTCATCCATTAACTGGGTCTTAATAATGGATCGCTCGCCGTAATGCCAGTTGTTTGAGGATATTTTGGAGCCAATATCATCCATAGATTCGACAACTTTGTTGAAATCAACCCATGAATAATTTGAATCGTCAACTTCTATGATATGGAGCTTAGCGTTGTAGGCGGCACCTTCGTATAATGAATTCATGGCTAATGGATCTTCCGATCGGCCCGCAATTAGACCAGAAACGAATGTTCCGTGAGTATGATTCAGATCTACAGGGGTTTCTGTCCAGTTCTCGTATTTAATGATTTTCCTGTGTGTTGGATATGTACCGGGGCCTGTGATTTCAACGGACGAATCTGAAAAGAAGGAATGATCAAAGTTTACTCCGTTATCTAAAACTGTAACTATCTGTCCTGTTCCATCTAGGCCCATCATTGAGATTGATCGAGCCGTACGCAGTTTAATACCTTCGTACGACATTACGTTCGTAGCTGATTGAGATGAACCAACTGCAAAACGAGATTGTAATTTAATTGATGAAGAAGGTTCCACGAGTAATACATGTTCATCTGAATATATTTGATCTATTGTTTGATGATCAACATTCTTGCAAAGGTATAATTCTGAATTTTGTTTAGTGCATTGAGATGGGTAAGGCCAGTAATCTGATGCTCTAACTATGTATTTGCCATTATCTGAGTAATTGTATGATTTAAAGCCTTTCAAAGTGTAAGGTTCTATTTCAAATTCGCCATAATACGAAAATTTCTGGTATTCATCATTTGAAAGATAGCTTAAATACGCTTGGTTGGATATTCTATGTTGTCGATTAAAGATTTTTGGATATTTTGAATGAAATTCTTTATATCTATCGAGAGACATGACAAATAAAGCGTTTAAATAAAACCATCCACTTGATTGATGTTCATGGAGTCGTCGAAGGTTTTGTTTTCCGGTTTGAATCCCAAAACCTCCGATTATTACCATAAAAAATTTATCCAGTTATTTTGATAAGTTTACAAATCAGGAATCAGATCAATTGCATTAATATGCATATTAATCAAGATTTCACAAACCAAATTTAAAATAATTCAAATCCTCAAATTTGTCAGAAACGAACGAAAATCGGTAAATTGAATAATCATGATATGAAGCATAAGTTTCATTAAAATCTTTCATAGAAAGCTTTTGAATACCTTACATAAAATTTTTGTACAGCATAGTGGGCTACATTAATTTATGATTCATGCATTCGATTTCAAACATGTTTGTAAAGAGCGAGTCTGTATCCTTATTTCGAACAAATATTCATAGAATTTGATAGAAATATTTTTATAATCGACAGAAAACAAATGACAAATCTATATATTTTGCTTGAATTCACAAACAAGCTTGGTTATTTGGTTCCAAGCTTCAGTTGTGGGGCAATGTGCGGATTTTTCTAAAGTATGATAGAAAATGTTCTGTTTGCCAGCAAGCAATGGATCAAGTTGCTCTTTAGAGACATAGAGTTCTTCTGATCCCTGCAAAAATAGTGTTGGAACGGTCAAACTCTTATAATCTTCTGTCATATCGAGATTTCCGAAAGATTCCCACATTACATTGTAGTAGTTATCAGAGTGCAACTTGACTGTAATGTAGTGAATAGTATCTGTTAGCGTATAGTCAGGAGAAAACAGTAATCTTGAAATCCATATTTTCATCATCGAGTTATGAGCGTCTTTCTTATTATATATCTGACAATTCAGGTACTTTTCAGCAAGTGCTTCTAAATAGTTTTGGTATTTGATATAAGAACCATTTCTTAATTCTTCAATTTTCTCTTTCTTATCTTGAGATATTACAGGCATCAATGTATTTTCATATCGAAGGGAAGCGTTCTTCATATTAAGAATTGGCCCCATATTAATAACACCAGAGATCTTATGATTTGGATCTTTAGATATTAGTCTAAATGCACGTGTAGCAAGGAAAGTACCGAAAGAATATCCATTTATAACAATCTTACAGTTAGGAAACTTCTGAATAGTCCAATTATATAAATCAATTGTCATTGTTACCCAGTCATCAACTGTAAAATTATCTAAAAGTGAATGATCTACATAGTTTTTGCCAGATCCGTATTCATCCCACCAAATTAATGTATAATTGCTTCTTAAATCTTCGTATAATCCTCTATAAGCACTACAATAGACAAATGGCATTAATGGGCCACCATGAAGCATTATCATAACAGGATTGGACTTGTTTTTACCTTCTAAATATATCTTTTGCAGTTGATTTCCAAGAGTTACAATATTAGATTCAAAAATTTCCATTCCTTTACCATATTTTGCCTTTATACATGCTCGGGCAATACCATATCCTGCAAACGCAACGGGAATAACTAATAGAATTTTAATGAAAATTAGGCAAAATAAAAAATTCATAAAAATGATCTGTTCAAAAAAGGTTAATTTTGTCAGATGTGGGTGATAAATAAATCAAATTTCTCAAAAGATGTAGGAAAAAAATAAACATTATAATTTTTGATAACAATAAGTAAATCTCCAGGTATCATGGACTTTTTAATGCTTGAGATCAAACTAATCATTGAATGCTATGCAGCTACTGCAATATTTCATCTTAATATATCAGATTAATAAAGATTAGGAGAAAATATTCTAAAATTGAATAAAATAAAAGGAATAAGAGATTTTATTTATCTTATTTTTCTGAGTTTTCGTCAGAAGTATATAATCCAGAGTAGTAATCACCATAGCTATAGTCGGAATCACGGCTTGTCTCTTTCTTCTTGTCCTTCTTCTTATCTTTCTTCTTATCATCCTTCTTCTTTTCATCTTTCTTCTTATCGTCTGGAAGTGGTTCAACTGGTCTGCTTGGTGGGCGTGGAGATTCTTCTGGCTTTGTATCACTGTTGTTATTTCCACTTGCAGAGTTCTCATCGTTCTTCTTAGCAGCATCTGCACCCTTCTTGACATCAGCCTGTGTAAGTTGTCTTGAAACGAGCTTGTAGTAGAAACCACCCTTCTTAACCAATTCATCGTGTGTGCCTTGTTCAACGATATTACCTGCATCGAAAACATAAATGATGTTGGCGTTTCTGATCGTTGACAAACGGTGAGCGACAATAACACCTGTTCTTCCAATAAGGACATTATCAAGAGCAGCTTGAACCTTCTTTTCTGACTCAGCATCCAAAGCGGAAGTAGCTTCATCGCAAATAAGAATTCTTGGGTTCTTGATGACAGCTCTTGCAATGGCAATTCTCTGGCGTTGACCACCAGATAACTGGCCACCACGATCACCAACTAATGTGTCGTACTTCTTGTCAAGCTTTTCAATGAACTTCTTTGCGTTTGCGATTTCAGCGGCGTTATCAATTTGTGACTCTGTGGCTCTTTCAACACCGTAGAGGATGTTCTCCTTGATTGATGTTGAGAAGAGTGTTGGTTCCTGACCAACTAAGCCAATCTTGTGGTGTAACCAACGTGGGTTGTATTCCTTGATATCTTTGCCATCGAGAAGAATGAGGCCTTCGTTGACATCATAGTATCTCTCGAGTAATTGGACACATGTGGACTTGCCTGATCCGGAGTGACCAACTAAAGCAGCGATTTCACCACTTCTTACTTTGAATGAAACGTTGTTGAGAACATTGACTGGACGTATTGGATATCTGAATGTGACGTTCTTGAACTCGATTTCACCAATGAAATTGTCTGTTTCAATGCCACCTTCGAATGGAACTGATGGTGGTGTCTTGGATAACTTGAGAATTCTGGCACCAGCAGCAATGGCTCTCAGTTCACCCTGGAGGGAACCCTGGAGCATTAAAATACCCATGCAGCCGAACATGCAGTAGCCCCAGCAAGACATTAAGTCACCAAGACCGAATCCGAATGTACCATCTGGCTTACGGGAGTTCTGAACTAAGTGTGTACCGTAGTAAAGGTTACCAAGAACCATAGCCCAAAGAAGAGTTAAAACAATTGTAGCCATGATTGAAATTAAGACGCCGAGCTTTCTCTCGCACTTGATTGTTTCATACTGGGATTTCTCGAATCTCTGGATTTCATCTTCTTCTCTGTTGAAGCCTCTGACTGTTCTAACAGAAGATAATGTTTCTTCAGCAATTGTCATTGACTTGGAAAGGTAAAGGAATCTCTGGGTTGTTTGCTTGACAACAGCTGGCATGAAGAAGGCCATGATGATGGCAGCAACTGGAATAATGGCTGTTGCAATTAAAGCAAGCTTCCAGGAGTAAACGTAAGCGAAGATAATACCAGTAAGGAATTGAGCAAGGTTAGCAATCTGTGTACCCTTGTCTGTACCGAAAGCTTGTTGAACTTGTTGAGCATCTTCAGAAAGGAGTGTTAAAATGCCACCAATTGGGTTTGTATCAAAGAATGTGACATCGTTTTGCATCATGTTCTTGAAAAGAGCTCTACGAATCTTGCAAGAAATCTCGCAACCGATTCTGATCCACAAGTATTGGTCGAATAATTTGAAGATAGCTAAGCCACATGATGTACCAATCATAGCGTAAATATATTTGAGGCACTTGTCATATGTTTTTGGATCTGGGACATAAGCGTAAAATGAGATTAAGTTAAGGATTTTACCGAAGAAGAAGAAGATTAAAATGACACCACCGCCACTAATGAATGATGGGATGATAGCAAGTACGTTCTTGCAGCTGCCAAAGGCCATTTTGTACAATGCGCCTTGGGCCATCTTCTTTTCATCATCTTGTACTTTGATTTGTTCACTAACTGAGTATTCACTTGATCTTCTAGTTGAATATTCACTCGAGCTACGATGAGTAGATGTGCTCGGATGCATGTTTAATAAACTGATCTAAAAAATTTTTCGAAAAATTATTCTGAAAATTTCGATCGTGAAATTTGAATACCCATTTATACCATAGATGCATTTTTGATTTATTATCTGATATATACCATATTATTCAAGATTTAATTTTTGAAAAGGTCTTTGATTCGATCGCAAAATTTGAGAACAATATAATCGTCACTCGCGAATTTTGAAAACTGTTTCACTTTGAAAGCATTTTGGTCATCCTTGATAAAATTTTTCTTTTTCAAATACGTGTATTACTTATTACTGCTTTGATTTATCGAGTATTTTATTTTTATGTCAATTTTTACAGTAACAAATAATTTTTGGTAATCTTTGATAGGTTTCGATAAGCTTAATATGCATTTTATTAAAAAGTTGATTGAATTTTTTGAATAATTTACAAAGGGTGTAAATCGAAACTTTTTTAGTTGTGAAAATTTTAAAAGCCGTGATGGGTCAGGGAACACACAAAAAAAGCAACAGATAATAGCATAGTTATAGCTAAATCAAATAAATATGTTTACGGCCGAAGGATCCTTAGGGAGGAACAAAATCAAATCTTTCCTTTCCTTGAAAAGCTTGTTGAAATTCTGAAAATCGTTTTTGTGTTGCATCACGTGCTAGAAAATCCCTATTAAACTAATCAAAAACGTTTTCAAGCGTTTTTTAGTTTATCCTCACCCTGCTTTTCTACAAATTTCTTTGTAAAAGCTAGTTTTATAGAAAATTAGCTGTTTTTAATATTACAACGTTCGATTTATAAAGTCTTCAATAAAGATTTATTTTATGGAGGCTTGTACTTTAACCTTACAAGCATCATTACTGTCATCAAACTAAAGCAAATGGTTTCGATTTGCGTTATTTTTTAAATTTCCGGATTTGATTTGTCTACTAAACATTCTACTTTAAAAGTTATTAGTATAGATTTCCAATATGTAGTTTAAATACCTCATAAGAATCTCTATTATAGACATCAATTTTTTTTCATGAAATTATTGATGGATTGGGAAGTTAAGAAAGCTGATTGAATAGATAGAATTCATATTTAAAATAACAATAACAAGTTGAAAAGTAAAATAAAATGTTAAATTAGCAGCATGATTTCTTATCCTTTTTCTCATCTGTAAGGCTTTTGTTTAAGAACCTATCTGAACATGCTGATTGCTTTATCTTTTCTGCTATCTGTAAGAACGCCTCTTCCACACCTTCACCAGAAAAAGCTGAAGCTCTAGCATACATAAAATTACGTGATTTAGCATATTGTTCCATTGTATTTTCGTAGGTTGGCTCTAAGTCGATCTTATTGCAGCAAATCAATATAGGCGTAGATTCACTAACAGTAGAATGAAATCTTTCAATCCATACTGGAACATTTTTAGCTGATTGAGCATCTATCTGTGAAAAAACAACAATAGCACCGTCAGAATCTTTATAATACATCGGGGCCAGTGATGCAAAACGCTCTTCGCCTGCAGTATCCCAAATTTGGAAGTCTACTTGATCTTCGTTAATGGTGCAAGTCCAGCAAGTATGACCCGCGCCGATGGTCGGCTTATAATTTTCGTTAATTTGCCCTTTTGTTAATTTTTCAACCATGCATGTCTTACCTATATTGCAATCACCTATCAAAACCAACTTAAAGGAGTCGACAAGCTGGGTTCCTTGGTTCATCGGTTTTTATAAAAGTGACAGATTTTATCATCAGTGTAAAAACATATTGCTATTTTGAAACCAGACTTTCATATTCGCTCAATTTTAACTATAAATTAGATTGAATTGACATTGAATTCTTACGGTAAACGTCATTCTACTTTAAATCGAATTCACAACTGCTTCCAAGCTTGAATGAGAGAATATATTATGTTTCGTAAATAGATAGATTAAATTCAAAAAATATAACATTTCAAACTTTAAGTTTGGTTATTTGAATATTAAATAGAAATCATAATTCGCTTGCATATAAAGTCTTTTAGACGACTTATATATGTATATACATAAAGCACTTTCTTAAGTTAAATATCCAAACTTTATTAATTCTCAACATCTATTATCGTATGCAGCGAGATTTTATAATAAGATCATAAAACACACAAGAATGAAATTGCATTTTAGATATTCATCATGTTCAATATATACAAAATCATATGTTTGGATGATATTTTCAACTTTAAAGTTCATTAAACGAGTTTTGATAGAATATCAATAAAGTTAATATTCCTATAATGAGATTTTGCATCAAGCCTGAAAAAAAATTAAAAATGAGCGATCATCTATAACTATCATGTTCGGTAGCAATATTCTATGTAATACACTTATTGGATATCACTATTTGTCATTTTTATTCATAATTGATGAATGCAGATGCATTCATTAGACAATGTTGGAATGAAAGAATCAATGGAGATGATTTCTTAGAAAGAGTATTAAGTACATATCAAGGAATCACGCCAGACTTCATTTGCCACTTAGCTTCCATTTGTGGAACATCTGGCAATTTTTTTCCAGAGTTAATCGATTATTTATTAGCTTTATTTACTCATGATATCGCTCTGTCTACACGGTCAATACAGATTGATGATCAAAATCAAATTAACGGATGTATTCTAATGTTTATTAGGTACGGAGATAGAATTTTTAATACAGAAAAGCATGGAGAAATCGAAAATTGCGCTATTGCTATTAAAGTTTTAGAAATTTGCTCTGTTTGCGCAGATAAAGAACAAAAATTTGAAGCTTTGTTTACATTATCGCGATCACCAATACTTTCTATCAATATTGCAACAGCTAGATATTTCAAACCCGATGAATTTAACCGAATTCAAGGTTTATTTAAAGATATAAATATTTTAGAGTCAAAAAGAAATGTTACTCAATTGCAAAAACTCTTCGACTATGCATTGAAAACAGATAAAGTTATACAACAGTTCCATAACTTTTCAAAATTTGAATTTATTTCTTTTTATTCTTCAGCAATTCGCATAACTCGAACGCAGCATTTAATTCCACGACATTCAGGCTTAGTTTTCTACAAAGTGATTAATCTTGCTTTGATGAATTCTTTCTTAGATCATCCTTCTTTAACAGATGCAGTTCTTATCACTACAATTCTTCCTCAGTTCTTTTATTTGAGGGTTAAAAACCAAGATCCAAATGTCCATATTAAGGTTTTCAACAAAGAAGTCTTTATTAGTGCACTTAAAAGCCAATCATCGAAAAATTGTTTCCCAGCAGGGTGTGATGAAGAAAAGTTAATAGAAATATTCACAAGAATGCCAGAATCAGTTGATTATGATAATTTACTTGAAACAATTTTCAATTTTCCAGCTTATTCATACAATTTTTTAGAACCATTCAAAGCAATCATACAATCTGATAATTTACAAAGAATTAAGAAGATTATAGCTGATTTGGAGAAGAATATTCTCGATATTGTATTTTATATCAAGCAAATGGACCAATATCAAGAATATTTCTCATTAATCTTTGACCAAATGATACAAAATCAATATGACTTGGAAAAATACTCCATTTTAAGTGGATTTTTCTTTTTATTGATTAAAAATTTCAAAAGATCAGGCTGCCCTTATGAAATTGATCAAATTAAGAAGTTTACCAATAACAAAGAAGCAACAAATCCATTAGAAATATACAGTTTGCGCTATTTCAACAATGATAACTTTAAAATGTCAGAGAATCAAAATACTTTTGCAGAAATTATGAATGAGAGATCAAATTTAATCAGAACTAATATCTATATCAACTATCTATTGAAGGAAGGAGAAAAAGATTACGAAGAAATCAAAAATATTTTGACTCAATTTCCTTATTTGTGGCCAATGACCTTTGTTTGGGGATCCAGACAACCAAAATTAGTCTCTCAGCATCTAATTAAGATCAAATTCCCAGATACAGAGTTGAATAATTTCTTATTCTCTCAAATGATGCTTTTGGTACGAGGTCCAATCACCACTTTACTTTTTAGCAACTGTGACTATGAAATCCTTATATCAATGCAAAATAAGGAGTTCTTTTTTGAGCCATCAAACACTCCAACGCCATTTCTCTTCCCATTGGACTCTTGGATGTTCGCAAGTAACTTGTACTCCATGATTATTATTCTCCGATCATGGCTGACCATCTTTGGACCAGTAAAACTCGTTGAAGGTTCATTTTCGATGATAAACAGGAGCCATTTACTTTTATTAAGGGATAAATTGCCTGGAGAACTGCTTATTTCTTACGCTTTCGTCATGTCAATTGTTTGCGATGACCAAGTTTCGATTATGATGGAAATAATGCGTTGTGTCGAGAATATTTTGACAGAAAACATAAATTTGATCAAAGATGGCGAGAGATTAGCTTATTTCTGCTTAGCCATTGTAATTGCGAACTCAGAAGGAAGTGAAGAAAGAATGGATTTCGTTCTTGACCTTTGCAAGAGGATTTTGGCCAATAAAAAGGATGAAACTCAGATAAGAATTGACTTCGCGCACAATTTCATAAGAAAAGCCATTTATTTGCCTGATTTTCATGATAGAATTCCAATAGAACTCATGGAATTATTAGTAATCAAAGGTGACTATAAAGGATTGGTTGATTTCTTTATTATAAGATCTCGTAAACTAGAGAATCCTTCCAATCATGAATATCCGGTCAACTATTAATTATTTTTTTTCTTTTGTTTTGTATATTAATAAATAAAAAGTTTATTTATGAGGTAAAAATATAATACTCTTTATTCTCAACATCAAACAGATCATTAAAATGTTAAACATTAATTCGTTGATTAGCATGATAAAGACAAAATACACTTTATTCTAAGCACCAAGTTAAATACAGCTTATCATTCATTCAAACAATTAAAGTACCATGAGCTTAGAATTTAAATTTCGGAAATAAAAATGATCCCGTATTGATTTATCTATAACTTCCATGCTTTGATAAATGCAAAATTCCAAGGAATAGGGAATTTCGGCAAAATATGAATTATTTGAAATTAATTAAAGATGAAGTAGGAAAAACTCTTGTTTATAAGTATGTTAATATTCTTGTTGAAAATTTTAATGCAATTCAAAAACATTGCAAGCAAACACCTTTGTCAATTGCATACTTTAATCATAATATAGAAGTTTTTGAACATCTTCTAAAACATGCAAAAAACTCATCAATTTATCGGCATATACATATCTATTTTATTATATAAATACATAATTTTCATTAATATCATCTGTTTCAAAATCTGAGCCAACATTGAATGGATCATTTTCTCCAGTGATCGAAGCTGTCAAACTGAAGATAGCCGTGTTATTGTCTTCTTCTTCAAATTCGTCATCTACAATTACAGTATTAACAACTTGTGATTCTGGGTTGTCATCAACTGGATCGCTCTCAAGAGAGTCTGAATCAGAACTCTTTCTTTTCATTATAAGCACAGTAACAATAATTGCAATGATTGCAAGAGCGCAAACAACACCAATCAAGATGTATATCCATGATTTACTCTTTGATGCTGTTTCTGACTTTTGTTGTTCTTGAACTTTTTCATTGCTCTTCGAAGAACTTGCTGTTTGAGTTGGTGCATTTCCAGGATCTTTAGATGGGTTTTCTGTTGGCTTCTCTGTCGGATTCTCTGAGTCTTCTTCAGATGATTTTCCTGGTTCATTTTCGGATGGTTTTTCTGTTGGTTTATCTGGGTCGCCTTCATTTTCGGATGGTTGAGGATCGATTGGAGGAACATTATTTTGTGTGATTTCGGGAGTTTGGAAAGCTGTTTCAAAAGCAGTAACGAATGGTGTTTCAAATGCACTTTCAAATGGTGTTTCACTCATTGTTTGACCTGCAGTATCGAATGGAGTCTTGAATGCTGTTTGATATGCTGTTTCAAAAGCAGTAACGAATGGAGTCTCAAAAGCTGTTTGTGCAGCTGTTTGGAATGCTGTTTCAAATGGTGTTGATGAGGCAGTTTCATATGGGGTTTCAAATGAGGTAAGGAATGGTGTTTCAAAGGCTGTTTCTGGTGCAATGATAATCATTGTCTCTGATGCAGTGTTGAATGGTGTCTCGATGGCAGTTTCGAATGGAGTTTCGTGAGCTGTTTCGAAAACTGTATTGAATGGTGTAACAAAGGCTGACTCAAATGGTGTCTCGTATGATGTTTCGAATGGTGTTTGATAAGCAGTTTCAAATGGAGTTTCATGAGCTGTTTCAAATGGCGTTTCATATACTGTTTCTGTTTCTGTTTGAACAGGAGTTTCATATGCTGTCTCAAATGCTGTTTCAAATGGTGTCTCATATACTGTTTCGAGAGCTGTTTGTGATGCTGTTTCGAAAACTGTCTCGAATGGAGATTCGAAAGCTGTCTCTGCTTCTGTAATAATTGGAGTTTCATAAGCAGTCTCAAACATAGATTGGAATGGTGTTTCATATGCTGTTTCAAATGCAGATTGGAATGGTGTTTCATATGCTGTTTCAAATGCAGATTGGAATGGTGTTTCAAAAGCTGTTTCGTATGGTGTTGAGGAACATGTGTCGAATGGTGTTTCGAACATCGAATTAAATGGAGTGTCATTTGGTGTACTGAATTGTGTCTCGAATGGTGTTGTTTGATGTGTGTTGAATGGTGTGACAACAGGTGTTTCGTGTGCTGTACTGAATGGTGTCATATAAAATGTGTTGAATGGTGTGACACTCTCTGTGTAGAAAGGTGTAGCTATTTCTGTGTTGAAAGGTGTTGATGACATAGTTCTGAATGGTGTCATGAAAGCTGTTCCGAATGGTGTTGAGAATGGTGTCTTCGCTGCTGTCAAGAATGGTGTCTGAAAAGCTGTTTGATAAGGTGTTGGTGCAAATGTATTTGATCTTCTTGGATAAGGTCTTACAGCCTGACAATTTGCTGTTGCATAATAAGTATGAATATAATTCTGATCCAGTTCTTCATCCCAGTTTTTCGTGGTGCAACCAGATCCAAATTTTTTGTTGTCACAATAGCAATCAGAAAATTCGCATCCTTGTGAATATCGTTTGTTATCGGCAATATATGTGCTTCCAAGTGTATTTCCTTTAATTACACATTTTTTTATATATGCGTACCATGAATACCAGAAATATATCATGGCATAGTCAGTAACAGTATTTTCCAAAAAATTGCAAGAATTAATGTATAGAGTCTGGCAATAATCATGATATATTGTGGAACATGGGCTTTGATTTCTATAAAAATTTGTAAAATAGTATCCATAAGTCGTTTGAACACCATTATTATAAATATAAATATTACCATAAGAGTAACTTTCCTTTCCATTATCAGCAATATTGCTAGAAAAGTTACAATTCACAAAATTCGGGCTTGATTCAACGTGAAGATTGCGAGAGCCAACAGAATTTGAATTAGCAGTAAAATATTCGAATCTTGGAACATTACTCTTTAGAACTACATATCCAATAGCTCCTTTTCTGTATGAATTGCCTCCTGTTTGACAATTTGAAACACAGCACAAGAAAAACCTTAAATCGGCGTTGTCTGTAAAACTGAATGCGCCACCTTGGCCTGCTTTACAGCTATGGAATAATGTGGCAAGCAAATATATTGACGTTGATGTTGTACCGCCATGTAACCATAGGGCACTTGAAGAAGAATCGCCACCAATTTCAACGAACTGGCATTCGATAATATTATATGATTCTTGAGCTGCTTCTTGTATTGGTTGGCTCTGCCAGCCTTGATAATTTTTTTGAGCTGAAGAAGAGATTAGGAAGGCTAACATTCTGGCAAATTACGCAAGATTGCGTCATTTTTGCATATTCAAAATCAAGTGTCTGGGTAAACAACAATTATGTATAATTTATATAATTAGCTAATATAAATAAAGTTATCGAATTTAAAGATAATTTGAGAATCAGCGGAAAAAAATCAAAATAATCTATCTTAAATTATATTTAAATATTAAAATACTATTGGTCTTATATTTTGAAAGTGTCTCAATTTTCTCTATCAAAAATTAAATACACTTATAAAAAATTAAAAAATAGGACATATATTTAATTATATCTCAACTTTTTTAGTGACCATTATTTATTCAATAAGCATTTTTTGAGAGGATTGTGGCAGAATAATTAAAGGCCTTCATTTCAGTGAATTCATAAGTTAAAATGTCATGCTATGATTGAATATGTATACGACAAACAATCATATAAGAGTACAGTATACATTGTGCGTCGCCTGTAGCCTACAGCTACAGGCACCGACACAATGAAAAAAGTGACAGAAAACTGACACCATACGGGCGCGCATATGTACGCATATATGTGTAAAAATAAACGTTCATATGTAAACTAACCTTTATTCACTAGCAGGGGCTGATAAATCATAATCGTCGAGAAGTACGATAGGTGGTCCCACCTGTTTAATCTGTATGGAGAGGCAAACGTGACGTAAGAAGCATAACACTGGTTTCTCAGTATATTTAATAGACTCTGCTGTTGGCTTAACTGTAAGCTTATAAAAGAAGCAGATCACGGAGGCAAAGAAACGCTTACATCAACTCCTTGATGAACAATAAGCTTACTTAAGACTAAACAATTAATTATACTAACTTTTATACTTTTTCTCTTTTCCTAAGTTGATCGTGATCACAAAGATCGTGATCTGAGTGACAATGAACTATAAGTTATATGAGGATATATGTGAGTAATATGAGTAAAAATAAGAGTTATAGTAGTAAAATTAGGTGTTTATTCGTGGTTTAGAGGAGGGATCAGAAGCCAGTGGCTAAGTTCCTTATGGCGCGCTTTAATTCATGGTAGGATGTGTCAGCCTTAAGGAACCTTTCATGCCAGCTGTCTGACTCATGTCCCACACGGTTGAGACGAGATCGAAGATCGCAGATCTCGTTGGCATAAGAGTCAACTTTATACTCAAGCTGGCTGATGTAGAGCTCTTTACCTTTCGCTTCCTCTACTTTTTCAGCCAGCTTGAGCTTTAGTTCCTCGAGAGCTACGTTTGACTCCTCCAGCTGCTTCAAATACTTGTGGCTGGTCTTGATTAAACGTAGCTCTCGAGGAGTAGCTCGTGGACCCGTTTTCTTTGCCGTTTGCTTGTGATCGAGATCTGGGATCTTGATCTCGGTCTTCGGACTCTCGCCACCCATCAATATTTCCTCGTCGCCAGAGGACTGTTCTTCAGTCACCTCTGGCTTCTGGATGGCAAGAGTCTTAGCAGGAGCTTTGTTGTTCGCTTCCATTAAAATGTAAACTTTACGTGTCAAAAAAATTCTGTCACGTAAACTATTTATGTTGAGATTGAGTACCAGACTCTAATATAAGTTCAACCATTATATTAGAGTCTTTAGGAATTTCATATGGTTCTTTTACATAATATTCCTTTTTTTGACCATCAGTTGATTCTTCAACTCTTTTGAATGAAAAGCGCTTATAAAACTCAAACACGAGTGCATCTTTATAACCAGTGATATCGTAAAATTTTGGTGGCACAAGCTGTTCATTCACATTACATATAAATTGTTTGTTATCATGAGCAATATTACTCAACGTTACTAAAGGCTCAAGGAGAGGATTTATTCTTATCTGATAACCGACAAATTTATATGTTGGTTTGCCCTTTCGCTCAAGGATAAACCTGATATTCGCTATAGTTATGAAAAGCTCATCAAAGTACTTATATGTTTTTTTATCTTTATCATTTTCGTCAGTGAAATCTGCTATGGTAAAACTATAATATACATGCATTCGCGAGATATATTTTTTTTCCCATAAGTCTAAAAATTTTGCTTTCGATGGAATTACTTTTTGCGTGAATGTTCTACCATGGTCATCTTCCCAAACAAGCTCTGGTTTTCTTGATGTTGTGTCTGTTTCAGTGGTTTCTAATAACGCAGTGATGAAATCCAACACATCTCCTAGGGACATGTCATATTTATAATTCAAGGCATTTTTTTCTATACTACTGTATGAAGGTAATGTTATGATTGGTGATGTACCTTTTCTTAATACATTCAATTTATTTTCATTTGAATCATAGTAACAATCAACAAATTCTCTACTTGCCTCAGTCATTTTTTCCATAAGACCTTCATTCAACTCCTGTGTAGTCATGTTGGGTTTTATGTAATATCTCATGTCAAACCTTTTTTTCACTGATTTTGATGAATCTGTCATTTCTAATGGAATAGCAAGAAACTCAAAGTCTGGATGCTCAAGACTTATCTTTCTTATCTCAAGAGCTTTTGACGCAGGATATTCAATGAAGTCTCTCGGTAATTTATATGAGACTGTATTACCACTTATCGTGCCATCATTCATAACATGTTCATAGTATAATCCATCATATTTAGACATTTTATATGTAACTAAAAGATGGAGAAAGTTATTAATCAAGTAGATAAGATTCTTCATGATGGAGCACGTAAGAATAGTAAAGAACTAAACAATGCACTCATTATGCCATTTTCTGATGATTATCCATTTTGTACTAATGGTGTTTATTTCTACTGCGGTAAGATGGGTTCAGGTAAGACATATGGTGTTATTCGTCATATAATGATAACAGACCGCTTCACTAATACTCCATATTATGACTCAATAGTTATCTCAGCAACATCAGGAACAATGGATAAAACAGCGAAGACATTTATGAGTCAAGTTAAAGCACCAGTACTGAAAAAGGATGATAAAGAACTTATGCCTTATTTAATGAAGAACGTTAAGATGAAAGCAAAGTATTACGCTATTGTTGAGTTCGTTCAAAGTAAGTTCGAAAAAATTTCAGAGGAGATGGAACACATCTTAACAAAGCATCAACTAAGGAAACCTGATGGAAAGTTTGAGTATAAGAAGATTGCAATATATGTTGTAAAGAAGTTGAACAAATATCCTTTCACAAAGTATCCCAGTAATTCTCTATTAGTGTTAGACGATTATGGTGGTCATGACTTATTGAATGACCCACGTTCACCATTAGCGAACTTCATCACTAAGGTCAGACATTATAACTATACTGTTGTCATCATGTGTCAAACATGGAGACATATATGTTTAAACATTAAGAGACTATGCACTGACTTCGTTATCTTTCAAGGTTATTCTATGAGAGACTTTCAGTCAATGATTGAACAGTCAGGAGCAACAGAAGATTGGGAAGAGTTATGGAACAAATACAAAGAGCTACCAACACCTCGTTCATATATGGAAGTTCATATAGTTGCAGGAAAGACGGACTTTAAAGAAGTTAAGCAACAAAAGATGACATTATTTTAAGAAGAAATAAATGGGTTTTGGCGATTATGTTAAAGCTGGATGGGGTATGGTGAAAAAAAATCCTGGTCTTGTAATAGGTGCTGGATTTAACATTGCTAACAAACTTTTCCCTCAAGTTGGTCAAGTCGGTGGTGTTATCGGTAGTCTTGGTGAAAGAATTGCAAAAACTACATTAGGTGAAGATAATGCATTAACGAAGAATCTTAAAGCATTCAATAAAGCTCTTGGTGGTGACTTCAGTAGAGACAAGCCTGTTGAAACACCTATAGTTCAACCTCAACAAACTATTGACAACAATAAGTATAACGCATACATTGGAGGAGCTATTTGGAACAATCATAAGCCATTAGTTCAGTCAGTACGTGTACTATCAGACATGCCATGGATTAATGCTATTAGTGGCACTATACGCAGATAATATATTTTTATGAGGTTTAAATGAGTGAACAAGAGAGGAAACTCATTGATGAACGAGTTAAGAAATGGGAGAATGAACGTCCGATAATTCGTACCATAATTAGCGATCAAAAGTTCAAGCAGCATACATTTGATTTTTTGCGCGATATATATAATGATCTTGCTTTTGATTACAATGCTAGGCAATACTTTGAGAAAGAATATGTTCAAAAAGGTCGTATTAATTTCCCAATGAGAAGAGAAGGCTTTTTGATTACATCAACATATACAGCACGTGGTAGAGACCCTTTTACAGACGCGGTTCGTAACTTTAAAGCACGTTCTTCTATTAATGATGATCCAGATTTCTACATACCTTATTTTCGTCCACCTTCGCATCCTTTACGAACCAGTGATCCTGGATATGACGCTAAACGAAGATATATAGAGACGAAATTAGCTAAATACAAGGAACCTAAGGATCCAAGGACTGGAGAAGTAAAGGAATCACATGTCAAGATAAATAAGCTTTACAAAGTAGTTGAAGAATTGGAGAAACGATCTAATGAGATTAACGCTGAGAAGAAAAAGGAAGTACCAAATATGAACAAACTAGATAAGATGATTAAGGAATATAGAGGATTGGCGAATACATCGAGCGTTCTAATAAAGGAAGTAGAAAACACGACAAAGCTGCAGAAAATGATTCATGATGAATTACTGTTAGGTGAATTTTCTATAAAACAAAGACAGAGTAACTTAATGGGTGAGGCTTATTATTTGGAGAATTGGTATAATGAGAGGTTAAAACAAATGTCGACTCCAACACCAACTCCTACACCTACTCCTACAGTAGCTCCAACACCAACTCCCACTCCTGAACCAACAGTAGCTCCAACGCCAACTCCTACAGTAGCTCCAACGCCAACTCTGACACCAACTGCTCACGCAGGTCCTCCACCAATGTCGAGTAGTCATGGTATAACATTAAATAAACCAACACCTACACCAAAAATAACTCCTGTATCACATCCTAGTACAACTAACCCAGTATCTGATTCAAATCAAGCGGAAAGATCACAGGTTCTTAAAAGAG